TCATCATAAATATCTTAATTTGTGTTGTGAAGATGAACGAAGGATTTACGGGTTTGGAATGACAAAAGGGTGAGTAATTAATGACCGAATTTTCATTTTTGGGTGAACTATCTCTTTAATACAATATTGCCACTTGTAGTTGTGTAGCATTTAGTACTTCAGTTAAAGAGACAGTGCACCCAAAAGCGAAAATCTGTCATCATTTACTCACCCTCAAGTTGTTCCAAACCTGTATGAGTTTCTTTCTTCTGTTAATCATGAAATAAGATATTCAAATACTCTAATTCTACACCCTTGCCTCATTTAGTGAATGTGGAACTATGAATATGCAAATTAGTCCCCGCCTCCACTCATTTGCACCAGCTTAGAGTATCTGCTCCACCAAACAGTTGACGGTACCCATTGACGTCCATAAAATGATGGAAGTCAATGGCTACCAGCAACTGTTTGGTTCTCATACAGGAACCTCATACAGGTTTGGAACGACTTGAGGGTGAGTAAATGAATAAAAAAAAATTTAAAAAAATTTTGGGTGCACTGTCCCTTTAACTGAGTGAAAGTGGAGCAGATACTCTAAACTAGTGCGATTGAGTGGAGGCGGGGACAAATTTGCATATTCATGAATCCACATATATAAATGAGGCAAGGGTGTAGAATTATATTCAAGCCATTTTAAAGCATGAATAAATTATTTCCTTGCAAAAAAAATGTTTTTAATTTTAATTATCAAAGATGAGTTTAAAGGAATAAAATGACTGCAGGAGTAATGTAAATAAATATATTGTTTAATAAATTGAATTTTTTAATATAAAAGAATAAAGAGACTAAGAGACACATGAAACTATCACAGCTATGTACGCAATGAGTAGCCATGGATAAGACAATTTATATAGGTGTTTCTTAGTGCTGGGTAGTGACGGATTACATCTAATCTGGATTACATGATCAGATTCAGTACATGTAATTAGATTATATTACATTTTAAAATGCTCATATCAGATTACAGTCACTTTTTTATGGATTACATGATTACATATTATCCACACAACGGTAGAAAATTATTAATAATTTATTGATTGATTTTCTCTATACCAGTTTGGGAAACCATGATGTTTAATGCACTTCATGCTTCATGCAATGGAATATTTTCTCTCTCTCTCTTTGTTTGTTAGTTTTTATATATATATATATCAATATGGCACACAACAATGCCATTCAAATCTAGAGGATAAACGAGTTAGGTCAAAAGTAATTAAAAAGTAGTCAGAATATATTACCTAAAATCAATAATCTAGCAGATTACGTTACTAACTACCATTTTTGTCATGTAATTTGAAATCAGCAACGAACTTGCAAGTAAAGTATCTTTTGTAAGTATTTTTTGACTCCATATTATATTTAACCATTGCTTTTGGCTTTAGAAAAATGACGACATAAATGCCAGTTGCTTCATTGTTGTCTTTATAATATCACGCATGCCTACACATCAAAAAAAAAAAAAAAAAAAGGTTGACTTCATAATTTATCATATTTGGGGATCCTTGGCATCAAAAAAAAACTAAATTAAATTATACATTTTATTAGTCATTATGCAAACATATACATATAGGCCTATATACTGTATATATGACCACAGACACAACACAGTAAAAGATTATGTAAGCAGTTAAATAAATGCAAGCAAGATAAGACCAATCATAATTCAGTAAGCAACTATAACAATCATCACAGCAGTTGCATTCTCTAAATATGTAATCTTTAATCGTAAATGTCTCAGTCAAAGTCTAAAAGCAGTCGTGCTACGTGCACGTTAACGGGTCGTGCTGAATTAATTGCAGAAATTAGCGGAGAAGAAAAAAAGCCTCGCAAGAACTATAATAAGCTTCTCAGTAGAGTGAGATGTGCTGCAGATCTCATCAGTGTATGAAATTATAATACAAGTTGCTGCTGTCTGGGAGAACATCATGTGACTACACCCATGCTCCTCTATTTCTGGCTGTAGCTAAATCATACATGTAAGCACACGGCACGACGTTACGTACGAGAGAATCCATCAAAACACAAATCTGCAGCCTTGCCTTAAACACAATCTATTGAAACAGAGAAGAACCCACATTAAGCCCGCAGTTTTAGAGAAGGGTGGTGTTGTCATAGCAACAAAGAGTAAAAATAACACTAAATAACACACTGTTTATCAGCTCGGAATTCAATAAAACTGGACTAAACAGACACTTACTGACTATAGCCAGAAATGATTAGCAATTACGCACACTAGTACTAATTAAGTCGAGCGATCTAATTGAGTCTAAATTTGTCTTTTCATCCATTTGTTATTTCACAGGCTATCATTGCGCGGCCCTGCCTCTTATTCATGTAAGCAATTAATGCTTGTCAGGATAATGATACATATAAGGGCAATGTTTCCGCCCCGGTAATTATTTAGCCCATGAGCTAACACAAGTCTGCTCCCATCTTTTCCTTTGAAGTGACTATTATGTTTTCAGAGAAAACCGTTTAACGTGTCCTCCGTCCCGGCCGCAAACAAAGGGCATTTCGAGCGTAATTTATGCGAGCAAACCGGAGATGCACTCAGCCAGTGCGAAAAGCATGGGTGACAAACAGATCGATCAGAATATCATATTATCCCATTTATATTATGCTTCCTCCGAACTCGAATGAGTCATCAGAAAGCGCCCGAGCCAGAGAGCACGGCCTGCGTTTGCCTCTTCTCCAAAAATAGCCCGCATTTTAATGTCAAATCTCGCGAAGACTGGCCTAAAGATTTGCATTGCCAAACAACACGGGTGACCTTTGGTCGAGGCTTTTTTGGCCACGTTTAAAGCACAGCGAACGCCCTTGTTTACATGCGTGTGAAATGGCAGACAGGAGGAGATGAAGGGGGCTGCTTCGCTTTAAAACAAAACACTTGAAGCAGTTACGCCTCGCAAAGACACCTGGGGCAGCCGTGCCGCTCCTAATTGAGAGATCGTACATCTGTCTGAGATGCAGGCATCGCACTGGACTAATGAGACCGTAAACTGGTACGAGGCGCCAAAGAGGCGAGCATGAGAGAGAAGCATGATGCATGTTGGCTTTGAATGGAAATATCAGATACTAATGGCTGCAAAGCTCCCAGATCAACCCTGGCAACCCTCAGGATAGTTGAGGATCCTGTCGGCTGCGAGCTCAAGTGAAAATCCAATTTTGCTGGAGCTGCAAAAAAACAAAGATTTTCATATTTTCTCCCCAACTCTTCGGGATTTCAGAGCCCGACCGTGACAAGCAGCAAACCTGACAGATCTATAAAGGTCATTTGTAAGCACATCACTGCACAGTATGAAGCATCCGTCCAGAAGTCTGTCTGCCTTAAAACAGCATTATTTTGAGTGCTGTATATCCATGACTTTCTCAGTCGTTCATGATTAGTACATGGAAAGTCAAAATGATCATTAAGGGTCGAAATACAATTTTTAAGAGTTGTTTTATTTTGTAATTAATTTTCAATGAGGTTTGCGATTTTATAAAAAAAATAATACAATTATTTGTTTTGTCATTCTTTATTAAAATAACGTTGGTGACCAGGTTGAAGGTCAAGATATTGAATACCAATCCAACTCATGTTTTATGTATGATTTTAATCGTTGGATACAGTCGAAAAGGTCAAGACCTGGGAAAGGCCAAAATCACATTTAAAGAGAGAGAAATAGACATTTGGTGTATTTAAAATTAGTTCAATTTAATAGGTTAATTATGGTAAATGTATCAATGAACTATAGTATATTATTTACCAAATATAACCTATTTAATAGTTATCATCTGTTCTGCCTATAATTCTATTACATAAAAAATACTAATAGTAAATAATGGGGAAAAGTTCACCTTACTCATGGAATATCACGTATAAGCACTTAAAAAAAATTGTCCTATAGTGAGCAAATTGTAGCTGAAATATTTTAAAGTTGAGGACAACTACAACAATTTATATGAATGTACAGAAATTCCCATTTTATTTTTGGATTTTATTCATTTCAGTTTCTTTTCCGAACAACTCTATGTCCATGGGATATCCTGACCTTGATGGACACTGGCTGAAGCCCTGCTTCAAGCACCAAATCCAGGATAAACAGGTAAGATTCAAAGTTTAATGAAATGTAATGAAACAACATCGCTTCCATTATAGATCTGACCATTTGCGTGCGTGCACCACCCACAGCGCTATTAATATATGTGTGAACTCGACTGGCAAAAGAGGCATGCTTTTGTTTTTCCACACAGATCGCTGAAGAAAATATAGAGCTCCTGGCACAGGCCACTTCACCTTCATCGAGTTAAAAGGAGCGACTGGGAAATGAGTCGAAAACAAACTCTATCACCCCCGCTGAAATGATAAAGCTGCAATGAGTACGAGCCATAAATCTTTAATTTCACAGCCATACATATTCCCCTGCAATTGCAGCTGCCTCCGACAGAGGATGCGCTTGCGCGAGATAAACTTTTCAGGGGTCCCCATCAACAGTATGTTGCTTTACATCACAGTTTAATGCATACGCATTTTAAAAGGAAGATGCATCTACAAAAACGTCGATAGATACTGTTTATAGACGTGCATCTCCCAAAACCCGTCTCTGTCGACAAAGAAACGCGTGATTCGGTCAGCATCCGCGGCACGTGCCGTCTTTCTCCTTGAGAGGGCAACGCTCACCTTGAACTAGATGTGCGATTAAACCCAAGTCACAGCGTGTATAGGTGCGTCCACGATCGTGCCTGTTTCTATCAAACCGCTGGGCATGAGACATGCGGAGCGCGTGCGGGTGCGCCTGCGAGTGCGCCAGTGCGCGTGTGTTTTGAATTCAAATGTCAGCAGCGAAATGCAGAGCAGATACCGCAGCATGCCAGTGAACTTCTGCAGTTTCACATTTAATCATCATGTGTGAGCCACATCAGCTGGTGCGCATTTTAACAGAAGGACACATAACACCAATGGAAAACATGCCACATACCATGTTTACTTCGGATACCATGTCTATGCTGGCTATGTCTATATTCATCCCTACCGCCACCGGAGCGCCTGATGGAGAGAAAGGCAAAATGATTAAAAGGGAAATTGCATGCATGCATAAACCCACACTTGAACCTCCAGGTATAGATTGTGCCAAATTACACTAAATCTCATTCTTGTGGCACTCTATATATGAAACAGCATGTATTATATGTATATGAAACACCAACACCCCAAATTCACGTGGCATTGCGCATGAAATTGTTGATTTGTTACAGCCACTGGAGGTGAACGCACAAACGCAACTGCATGACTGACAAATGCACAGTTAGACGCGTCCTTCTATCAATAACAGCTTGAGCATCTTCTATGATGGACTCGTATGTGTGCGCGTGCATCAAAGGAGATTTTAAAGCATGCCATTTCATTTGCTTTCATGATGCAACAAAAGTTGCGGTGCAAATTGAATTGATCCCCAAGTTAGCGTCCCTCTCTGGGAAACGATCAAATGGCAAAATTGCAGGAAATAAGCATGCGTTCATTTTTCTCATGCATTGACATGAGATGAATAAACAAGGTTTGCATGAGTAATCGGGCATGTTAGTGCGCGTGACAATCCAAATGCAACAATTATACGAATTTTACTCATGCTAGCCTACCTCCGAAATCTGGCCTCAGCCGAATGTCGTATCCTTTCATGAGTCTGTCCACGGTGTCTTTAACCACCGGCATATTGCTCGGGTCTCTGCTACTGCAATAATATGACGAGATGTTCTTAAATTCCTCTTGCATCCAAAGACACAGCATTTTCTTTTCTGAAACGGCACAAAATGCAACCCTACCTTTGCCCGCACGCCACAGCCACGATCAGCGGACATAAGAAGATGATATGTGGGGTTTTTCCGATACTCTCCATCGCAACAGTTTTGATGCGCTTTCGGATGTGATGATGAAGACAGCACACATCCAACTTACTGAAGCCAGTGCAGCGAAGGCAATGAGCTGCGCATGCGCACACGCCAGCTCCAGATCAAAGAGCAGCTCCTGATGATGCTGGATGAGCTGTTTCCATTGCGGGGGAAAAATTAAAGGGACGACTGAATAAACCAAGTCAAGAAGAAGAAGACATCAGGTGATCCTCATGCAGCATTTTTAGTCCTGTGTGTGAATGTGGAACTTGAGGGGTTCCTGAAGGTGACACGAAGGGGTTTCAGTCATACCGAACTTCAGGTAGCCCATCATAGTCATTAACGTTTGCTTTAGGGTCTCAGAATAAAGAGCCGCTGAGAGTTTCTTCGGAACGTGTTTATTGTGAGAGAAACAGAAAACATAGCCATTCAACATATTACAGTTAAAGGGGTCATATGATGCGATTTCAAGTTTTCCTTTCTCTTTGGAGTGTTACAAGCTGATTGTGCATAGATAAGATCCCTGAAGTTGCAAAGACTAAAGTCTCAAAACCAAAGAGATATTCTTTATCAAAGTTAAGACTCTGCCACGCCCCCCTAAAACGGCTCGTTCTAACACGCCCCCACATATCTACCTCACTATGTGGAAATATTAGCATAATGCCGCCCAAATGTGCACGCAAAGAAAGAAGGCGTGGTTTCAGTAACCGCAGTTAGTGTTGAAGCAGCATGTCAGGAAGACGCTGTGTGTTTCTAGGCGAAAGCAAAAGCACTTTATTTGGCCTTCCAAAAGTAGATGCATTTAGGAATCTTTAAGATCACTTACAACAGAACAGCAATGCATTTTATGGACGACCGTTTCGTGAACCTAGGAGAGGAGGTAATTCTGTTACTATGACAATCTGGCGCTTCTGAATCAACTACTGTTTTGTTATTAGTTTAAGTATTTGCTAATCCACTTGCTTTTTTAGCAACAGGTTAAAGAGTATATCAAGCAAACTAAACATCAACTACCCTGATAGCACACATTCATCACAGAGACGTTTGCATTTACATCTGCAAGACGTATTTAATATGTGAGTGTTTGCTCATCTGCAATACGTCTATTGGACGTTTCCTATCAGATGTCAACTAGACGTTTAGAAGATGTCTTTAAGATGTTTATGATTTAGATTGAATGTAAAACTGACATCTTAAAGACGTCTATCAGATGTTTGTACACAGCAGATGAAGCGATCTTTAACAGACCTCTTGGAGATGTACCTGTGCAATCTGCTGAAAATAACAGCTAAAACCAGCCTACGCTTTAGCTGGTTTAAACTTGAAGTAGCTGGTTTTAGGGAAAGTCAGACAAGGCAAGTACAGCCCCGATGTTTATTGAAGCTGAAAAACTCTTGCAAGAAGGTCTAGTTTGCTTAGCTTATAGGCTGGTTGGCTGGTTTTAGCTGGTTTAAGCTGGAAGTAGCTGGTTTTAGCTGGTCTCCCAGCCTGACCAGCTAAAGAAGTGGCCAAAACCCCTCTAAAACCAGCCTGCTGACCAGCTACGACCAGGCTGGAAGACCAACTAAAACCAGCCAACCAGCTTATAAGCAAACTAGAGCTTCTTGCAAGAGTTTTTCAGCTTCAATAAATATCGGTTGCTTTTTTAGCAACAGGTTAAAGAGTATATCAAGCAAACTAGACATCAACTACCCTGATAGCACACAGTCATCACAGAGACGTCTGCATTTACATCTGCAAGACGTATTTTATAGAGTGTTTGCTCATCTGCAATACGTCTATTGGACGTTTCCTATCAGATGTCAACTAGACGTTTAGAAGATGTCTTTAAGATGTTTATGATTTAGATTGAATGTAAAACTGACATCTTAAAGACGTCTATCAGATGTTTGTACACAGCAGATGAAGCGATCTTTAACAGACCTCTTGGAGATGTACCTGTGCAATCTGCTGAAAATAACAGCTAAAACCAGCCTACGCTTTAGCTGGTTTAAACTTGAAGTAGCTGGTTTTAGGGAAAGTCAGACAAGTACAGCCCTGATGTTTATTGAAGCTGAAAAACTCTTGCAAGAAGGTCTAGTTTGCTTAGCCTATAGGCTGGTTGGCTGGTTTTAGCTGGTTTAAGCTGGAAGTAGCTGGTTTTAGCTGGTCTCCCAGCCTGACCAGCTAAAGAAGTGGCCAAAACCCCTCTAAAACCAGCCTGCTGACCAGCTACGACCAGGCTGGAAGACCAACCAGCCAACCAGCTTATAAGCAAACTAGAGCTTCTTGCAAGAGTTTTTCAGCTTCAATAAACATCGGTCCTGTACTTGCCTTGTCTGACTTTCCCTAAAACCAGCTACTTCAAGTTAAAAACCAGCTAAGACCAGCTTCAGGGCTGCCAACTTTTAAGTTCAACTTGGAGTGAGAATACCCAAAACCTATATTATGTGTATATTATAATAAATATATTATGTGGTGTCTGACAACTGGACATGCCTAGTAGTTAACGTCATGATGGCACTGCATTTCTATCATAAAAGTATGTAAAGGTATGTTTTGACGCTGGGATGCTGGGATTTGCCAGCACATGACTAGCATAAACCAGCAAAGGACCAGCTTAAACCAGCAAAGGACCAGCTTAAACCAGCAAAGGACCAGCTTAAACCAGCAAAGGACCAGCTTAAACCAGCAAAGGACCAGCTTAAACCAGCAAAGGACCAGCTTAAACCAGCAAAGGACCAGCTTAAACCAGCAAAGGACCAGCTTAAACCAGCAAAGGACCAGCTTAAACCAGCAAAGGACCAG